TCAATTTATTTCTGAAGAATACTACACCATATTATGTTGAACTTAAAAATGTGAATAAATTTCATTGCCAATACTACTTAAAATAACTAATGATGTGTTACAATTTTGACGTAGGTATTTTTTTGCCAGGAAACAAAAAACAAAAAAAATTCTTCAAGGTCAATTATTATTTACAAATTTTTTTATCATGAAAGTTCATTTACTGATCTGTTTTAAGTCAAAGGAGATTACTTAGCAACAAAAATATAATAATAAATCGCCTATTATGAAATAGTATCTAACACCACCCCCGCCCACCCACCCCCAATTATTATACTAGAGAACATTAAATGAAAAAAAAAATGATGTTAATCAACAATCACTACTCTTATTATATGGAGTGGGTGTCTTATTATAAGAAACAAAACAAAACAAACATAATTCTATACAAAACAATTTGGCCATAAATAAATAATAGAAGTGTACTTTTACTTGTTATTTATCATTCATTAATAAGGAATAGAATGGGTTTTGTGGAGATTTTTAGTTGATTTCATAGTTGAAATCATGAGTCCATTGAAGCTAGATCACCAAAGAAAACCTAGAAGCACTGGATTGTCATTTCGTCCTATTATAGGATTCCTCAGTGGCAGTGCGCATCCACGACCTCACCTCATGCTTTCAATTATGAAAATTTTAGTTTCATTATGAAAGGTTGATAATGATATGAACAGAGAAGTTATGACAAACAACGGAAGATATTTTTGAAGGATGTTACTTCACTAACATTCATTACTGTCCATAGTTTATTCTTCAAGTCATAAGCATTCGTTTGATGTATGATTCACTGATATACATTTTTCTGTCCATAAGCTATTGTAATTTAAATGTAAACTTCATTACTCTATTTTTCTACCCTAATGGCCAGTTTTGGACATAATTGTATTTATCAGAAGGGAGGTTTTGTGGGGATTTTAGTAGTTTTTATATAGTTGAGATCATGAGTCAATTGAAGCTAAATCACCATGAAAAACCTGTATGCACTGGACGGTCGTTTCGTCCTATTGTGGGACTCCTCGTGGATTGGTTGAAGTTAGACATTAACACCGTTTGATGCCGGCTCAATGGTCTATCAGTTAAGTGCTAGCGCACGAGACTGATAGGTCTTGTGTTCGAATCTGATGAGGCGGGATCGTGGATGCGCACTGCCACTGAGGAGTCCTATAATAGGACGAAACGGTCGTCCAGTTCTTCCAGGTTTCCTATGGTGGTCTAGGTTCGATTGACACATGGTCTCAACTATATAATAAGTGTATTTTCCTAATTGTTTGTACGTTTTGGTCATGTTAGTCATCTGTTTGTTCATATATCTTTTTACATTAATCTGAATCAGGAATAAATCGAATAGTGTTCCAATTGATCTATCTTCTCTCTCAGTTGCCAACTAATCAAGTGATAGTATAATTTCCAACTCTCTATCCAAGACATTTAGTATCAATTCGAACTCATGGGTTTCTAGCCTAAAGGTTGAAACAGTTAACCTATTGTGTTAAGCCTTAATCTAGGTTGAGACAAGTTACCTTCTGCATAATTTAAAGACAACTATGTAAGCCTCAGTGCAACTTCGGACAGATCTGTGTCATAATTTGTTTGTATGCGTGGTAGTGGTTAGATACTCTTCATCAATTGAAACCAACATATATTGGTCAGGGTTTAAATCTACAATTGAATAGTTAAGACATGTTAGAGTCAACGTATTCAGATTTCTTTTTTCTACGTAGAAGCAACATCACTGAAGAGAGTTAACTATGAGAAATAATCCGCTTTTACACCTCAGTATGCTGACTAGTGTAAGGGATGGTTGGAAGAAAGTTAGGGGCGGCCAAACTAAAACGTGGCATCAGTGCTTGAAGTCACTAACTTCTGGTCTGAGCCATGTTAGTGGTAGATGCAGAATACTTGGTTGGGGTCGGCGTGACTATCGTAACCAATAGTTGGAGACTTTAGGTGACATGGCTCAGAATCGATCACAATGGCGTAGGTGTATACACTTTTTATCTTCTCTTAAATACTGAGATTAAAATTGCTTCATATCTGTCTTCTTTCCCATACTATATCCTTATATGCAACCTATTTTTTATATACTTCCACCACCACTAAATTAACTACTTCTATGGATCCGATGTTCATCTTGTTGTGCTAACGAGGTATGCAACTTGGACCGATGCATATGTGTGCTCTACCTTACGTTAAAGCTGACTGACTGATACCTCAGTATGCATCTACCAATGAATACTAGTTTCCCCACATTTGATATGATCAAAATACTTGGGCTATTTTAGGTTATCATGATAAGCAAGAGAAACCACAATATCATGATAACAGCTATCTTCAGGTATCCAAAAGTTCTACCAAAGTACTATAGGTGAGACTATAATTTACGGGTGACCTTTGAGCGAATCCTAAGTGACCTTGAGAAATGTTAGCCAATCAGTAAACAGTCAGCAGAGTAAATATATATTATACAAACCCAAAGAGTTAAAGTGGATACACTTTTTTATATGGTCCAAAAACTTGTCAAGATTAGAAAAAGGTTCAAAGGTTCCAAAAATTGCAATGCATAATGTAGAGGAATTCATCTATATGGCTCCATAATAGTTGGTCTCTGGAGCCATGATAAGGTCATAAAAACCCTCTCAGCCTCGACCACATAGCTTCATTACTGTTTGTGTCTAGTCTGGTTGTGTAAGTTTATCATTTTTATTATGGATATGTCTCTACAATACTCATACCACTGCACAGCCGAAGCTTCATTAACATCTGCGATTATTACAGCAAATGTTACAGGCGCTTTTACTATACAGTTGGTGGCAATTATTATAATATGCTTTGGTCTTAATTTGGATTGGGCGATGAAGGTTCCTATCCTAACAAACGTCTTCCATCAACATATATTACATTGAAGGACATCACAGTAGTCTGCATAAGGTCTACAAGTCATTTATTTAAAGCAATTACAAATACAGGAACTTCTTAGTAGTTTCATTTGTAGTAGCGGCTTAATTGTCACATCTTCTCTAAAATCCTCTGTGAACCGATCGTACATGAGCATCAGGTACTGAAATTGGAGCTATGACCTAGAAAACGCTTTTGTTTGGCTCGTCCATAAATTATAGTCCCGCCGAACTATATTTAATATACATTTTTTATTAATTAACATTGTTGAGAAGAAGCTAAGTGTTTTACTGACTTATTTCCTAACTAGTAGGTTGTAAGTTCAAACTTCACACTACCGACGTTGTGAACGAAAACTCAGGTGGGGACAATCGATTGTATTTAAATACAAAATTACAAAATCTTTTGCTAAAATATGAGAATCATACACTGAACACTTCATTAGCAAATTTCCATCATTTGTCCTTCACATTCTATATGATCCTTCCAGTTTACAATTCCTTTCTATTTTCCCTTCAACTGGATCTTCTTAGCTTTCTGCTGCCAAGTTTTCCACTTCTGATTGTCGTTACATACTACTTTTGTTTGTCGATATAAGCAACACACATCACACCGACATTAATTGCACGGCTGACTGGAATCCTTATAAAACGATACAAATCAAAGTCAATTACATGAATCGACAACTCATATATGATTTACATTAGCATTGAGCTGAAATTAATTAAATCATTGTCGAAAAAAAGCATAGATATCCTCCATCACAAAAGGTACTGTGTTCGAGTCCCAGAGTGAACATCAACTCTGAGATTCAGGTACATCCAGCTGACGAGTCCCAAATAGAACGAAACGCGCGTCCTGGATTCTACTGCTAGCCACTATCCATCTTTGCTTTTCCTCCATCACTGTTTATAATTCTATGCTTGTCCTCTCTTGTTTTTCATTCGGAATCAACTCAACACATCCATATAGATTAGAATTCAAAATTACCAAACAGTCCCCTTTCGAACATTCTAATATGTGTACATAGGATTTATGAGCTCCATGAATTGATGGATCGATATTGTTAGGAATATATACATTACTTATTTCTTTACGCCTGTTACCCCTCGTGGAGGAGCATAGGGTGCCTACCAGCACTCTCCATCCAACTCTGGGATATATATATATATATATATATATATATATATATATAGTTTGATTATATTTTGAATCCGTCAATACATCATAGGAACGAATCGATGCTACTTTCGTTCCACTTCGAGTCTCACCATTAAAAATATATTTGTATTTCATTAATGCTGATGTTTTAGCCACTAAGACTCTAATGTCCCACAATAGAACGAAACGGCCGTCTAGTGCTTCCAGGTTTTCCATGGTGGTCTAGCTTCAATCGACTTATGAATTCAAGTATAAAATTACTAAAATCTCCACAAAACCCCTTCTGATATGATGAACTTTTAATTGATAAGATTAATGAATGCAATGGTAATCTATGAAAGAACACAATGGTATGATATGACTAAGCGATGGTTATTCATGGGACTGTACTTTTAGTGTATAGTCCTACACCAGAATTCGAAGACAGATGAATAGAATCTTTTATGTAGGAAAATAACATGTTTATTTAATAGAATTTGAACATACAATGAACATGATGAAAATATCATAGAAGGTTAAAGAAAACCAGATCACATTCACGAGTATAATCAAGATTCAATTTGAAGCACAGATAGATGATAGCTAGCAGTGGAATCCAGAACGAACGATTCGGTTTATTTGGAAGTCGTCAGTTGAATGTGTCTGAATTTCAAAATTGATGTTTACTCTGAGACTTAAAGCGATATCAAGGCGGACCGCTCAGGATGCATATGTGCCAATAAGAGACTGATCAATTGTAGTCCTAAGCATCAATGGGAAGATTCAAACAACCAATATAAAAACCAACTAAAATCAAGATTTAATTGTTTGGTCGAGATATTTCTGGCACGATATCAATGTATATTCATCATTGAATTTCTTTCTGTTTGATAACATAAGAATAATGAAAACCAGAACCGGAATGTTTACTTCTTACTTTTATGTTTGTGTTTATGTTTAGAATGTTTTTTATGTTTTTTTAACTTTTTATGCACCGGAGAATCAACTTCATCATTATCATGAATATCAACACTGTCATGATGAGAACGTTTGTTCATCTCTGTACTAGAAGTTCGATGTTTAGATGATGATGATGGTGATGATTGTCTTCTATCATTCCATTTTGATGAATGATGATGTGTATGTTTTAAAGTTGATTTGGATGTTTTTCTACAAGTTTCATTGTTTCGTTGAGTTGTTGTTGATGATGATGGTGATGATGGAGAATTGGAAGGAGAATAGCCGTGTATTCGTGAAGTATTCAATGTTTTGTATTTGTGTGAATAGCGACTTTTATGAAGATTTTCCGTTTTATTTGAAAGTGATTCTACACTACTACATGAAAACAAAAATCAAGAAAATTATAAAAAGACAAACTGTAAAGGAAATTTGTACAAAATATAAGATACAATCATCCTCACAAACATTCGTACTCACAGTAATGATTGTACAGTCAGTCAGTCACAACGTAGAACTTACTACGTACGTACATCAGTTCGAGTTGCCATACCACATTAACACAGAGATGCAGTTGTCCATTCGAATTCCATGGTGGTAGAAGTAGTAAGAGTATAAGCATTAATCGGAAAGATTAGGGTTTGAAGATGTTATTGAAGGAGATTGTACAGTCACCAGAAACCAATTTTAAATGGTAATTTTTGAAGCTCTAACGAGAAGTTATGACTAGTGAGGTTCAACAATATTGAGTATGACGCAATTATTAACCAATAGTTGTAGAATATAGCGATTTGAAGTTATATATATGGACTACTGAATTCTAGCTCAATGGTCTAAAGACCTTAAGTTCTATTGTAAGTGGATTTGATGGTACATTTTTGAGGGATACCATAATAGGACAAAACAGTTGTTCACTGCCTTTTTATTTTTTTATTTTATGGTGTGATGTAGCCTGATTTGCTTGTAAATAAACTGCGTATGTCTGAAATACATGATTTATACAGTGGAAGGTGAGATTGTGGTCTAAACTCAAACGGATAGAGCTAGGCAAGAAGAACTAATAAGGACTCAGAGTTGACTATAGGCCACTTGTACTGGTTAATGCGTCAATGGTTTGGCACAGTGCCAAGGTAACATAAGTCGGTGTTCTAATTGGCGATGAAGTCACATGATATTTGACGAGGCTTAGGACATAACAATCAGATAACTAGATTGCCCTGTTTATGCATTCCGTTTATCATAAGCCTTTTAGTTGACCCACTAAATACTGTTATACAATTCACTATTCCTAAATTGTTGCCCATCTGTTATTTAGTCTCCTCTATTTACAAACCCTTTGGTTTGTTTATAAAAAATTGTTATTTTTTATTTTACGGTGTGATGCGGTCTGGTATGTCTATATAAACCACATTTACATGAAATATAAACATTCAGTAGAGGCTGATTGATGACTTTTGAGCTCAAGGGAGGGTATAGAGAGAAGCTTGCGAAGTACGGACTAATGGAAACCTAAGTGTGTTGGTTCAAGGTCAACAGTGGTAGTCGGACATGTAATTGGCCAAGTCAGAGACACTAGAGTATAGAGAAAACAACTGGTAAAATTAGAAGTATGATTTTGACTTGGCATATGATATTGATCAGGGGGTCAAAATGAACAACGATAAGGCTTAGTGCATTTATAACTCAGGATATAGCTACTCTAAAATATTTTAGGAAAAAGACTCAAGTCAATTTAGATCCATATGCCCATCTGGGTCAACATGATCAGTATTACACTTTGATAATACACCTTCTTACGTATTCTTTAGTAACAGGTAGCTAAACTGTATTGCAGACCATAACATAGATGACATAAGCGTAAATATCAATAAAAAAATAACATGAAAACTAACAGTTGGTCAATAGTTCAAGTGAGAGACCATAACAGAAGCTGTAAAACCAATTCCTACGCTTCTCACACTAAACAAGTGGAGATTTTTCCGATAGCAAGCTTCAAATAACCACAGTAAAACATGTACAAGCATACATTATGTAGTATTTATGACTCCATATATATAAATATTCACTTCAGATGATAAAAATAAGATAATAACAGTAGAAGTAATGATAATAATAATACGCCCACAAATGCCCTGGTACGGCCGAGAGTGAGGAGAGTCCACTATCCATCTCAAAATGCTCTCACATGGTCACGCGTACATAGCCTCTGCCAGGGAAGTCCTACTAACTGCCTTCTCGCACCACGGGTGTTGTTTACGAAATTGAGAGGACGAAAAGCGAATGCCTGGTGCTTTAACCGGGTTGGTGGACACAAAACGTTCACCTAGGTGAGCTGAAAAACTCTGATTCCAAATCAATGGTGCACATGAGCTCCAGTATCCTGGTGAAACAAATGGCGTATGAACCAATTATTGGTCACCGGCTACCATAGGACTGCATATCCTTACGATGCTCCATTGCCTTGTGGATCAGACCTTTATGTCAAAGGCTCCAGGTGTGACCCCCTAAGTAAACCACCTGCTTCAGTTTGGGCACCTGGGTAGTATCACAGCCCTCGCGCAAATAAAAACTCACCTAGATCTTCTATCTTCAGACTGTTGTTCCGATAATTCTTGACTAGCTGCCAACATTTCAGTTTGTTGTGCTATGATCTCGCGTAATACCTGAGAGAGTAGGAAAAGGATCAAGAGAAAGAATAATTACATTTTAATTTTATCATATATTTAAAGTGGGACAGCTTAACAAAAACAAACTAGTTACAGACAACTAACAGTGTTGAATGAAATTTACAAAAACAAATCAAACTACTTGTACGTATTGAAAGTAGTATACACTTACAACACATGGTAAGTTCTCTCGTTTACTGACTTTTCATGATTACATATGCATGTTTGTACCGATTCGTTTTGTTTGGCTTGTTCTACTTCGAATATCGAGTTTTCCTATAGTCCGTCCTATCCCTAGGTTAGTAGCCTACTGTTGAACCGTTGTGTCCCAGCTGATGTTATCAATTTACACAACAGTACTGCTTACATTATAGCAACTTAGTCGCTCCTGATTCCGTATGTACTGTAGGCAGATACTGAGCTCCAAATATCAGGATTTAAAAGACGCTGATATTCATATGGAGGAGTAATGAGCTGATCGATTGAATTGGAATTGATCGTTTGTCACACGTAATCACATCTTAAGAAGAAGTGATTATATGGCTTGGTCAGTTAATCATATTTGTTGGTTGTAAGACGCTTGATTATATGATATTGTCAAAATGTATTCACACAGTAAATTACTGACTAATTAGTGTCAAGTACTACTCAGTTTAATCTATACAAATCTGACTGTTATTCTAACTGTAAATGGATCTTGTACGAAGTGGTGTATTTCCACATCATCCTGATTTATTCCCGAGGTCAAGTAAATCTTTATCGAAGGTTGTCAGGTTATTTCTTACCTGCATCGTCCAATCTCCAGGCTTCTTGGTATCAAGTGGAGTGGAGTGTTGTCGTTTTAAACTTGCTAATTTTGTTACCTATCCAAAGGTCACTGGATGGCACCATATAAACAGAGTTGTATCAGTTCAATCTTTCGACTTCTACTAATAATACAAAGCTATTTTAAAAGTACAATCTTCTAACTAGCGTGTGGATTGATAGTGTTAAAGTGTTGTTGTGTGTTAATTGTCGTCCTGTCAAGTTCAATGGTTCCGTATTTAGCAATTATCGTAGACCCATGACGAATGTAATCTCAAGATATAACATCGACAAGCTACTTGAATGAGAAAACCGAAACAGATTGGGAAGTTTTTATTGGCAAATCAGTCAGTTAAAACGTAGAACTTCGTACGTACGTACATCAGTTCGAGCTGCCATACCACATTAGCCCAGAGATGGAGTTGTCAATATATATATATATATATATATATATATATATATATATATATAATTAAAGATTCACATACTTCAGTATATGATTTTCTTGCGGTATGTATTCCTCGATAACTTTGACGACGTCGTTTTGCATCACGCATCATAGATAAAACTTCTAATTTGGATACATCTTGTGATGAATTATTAGCTATAAGTTACAGAAAAAGAAACAATATTAGAATCAAGAAACAAGTAAGTAGTAAGCATATTTTGGAACGATAAATAATAAGTAAGAACTACAACTGCGTCACAAAGCGAGCCCTCAATAGGAATCCTCAAGGCCAAAGGAGGAGAGGAAGACCAAAGAACGCAGATAAGAGAAGAATGAACAACAACTGGATGGAACTAGAAAGAAAGGTCCAGGATAGAGTGAGTTGAAGAATGCTGGTCGGCGGCCTATGCTCCATTGGGAGCAACAGGCGTACGTATACAAATCTGTTAGGATTCTGTTTAAACATTTATTTGTAAGCATACCGCTGTGAAGATTGTTGAGTTTCACTGAGATTATGAACCAATCAATGTTAGACCACCATTGAAAATCTGGAAGCATTGGACAGTCGTTGAGTACTAACATGGGACTCCTAAACGGTGTATCCAAAACCCCTCACGCAGAAATCTTATCCAGGATCTTCGGTTTCCTGCAAGAACGCTTAACATTTAGACCAATGAGTGGGGATCCAACTGTAATAATATCTAACTTTAATCAGTCCATACTAGAACAAAACGGCCGTTCAGTGCTTTCAGGTTTTCAATAGTGGTTTAATATTGATCGGTTTATGATTTCAATATTCCAAAGGCAAAAGTAAACAGCATCAGAGTTCTAACTACTCGTTGTCTAATTAAAACAGACATTTGCCATACTTTTTATGATATAATCCAACTCCATCTGAAGCTTTCTAGGCGTTACTGCTGATATCAAGCCTGCATAAAGAATGGCTTAAGTAAGTGGTTACGAAATAACCTATACAGAATTAAGGGATACTCCAATTTACAGAGATTATTGTAGCTAGTATGTTCACATTGGATTACGTGATAGGCTTCGAGTCACATTATCAATTAGGTAAAAGGTTGATGATACATATCATCTGGCCATAAACAAAACGTGACGTAATATATCGCAGTTGTTGTATTCTATAAAGTATGTTATGTCAGGTTCCCTAAGATACATGAATTTTAATAATGACTATTTTCAATACTGAAGTAATCTCTACAAATCACATAAGTCAGTCATGTGTCTTAAATTGCTCGAATGTACAAAATAGAGAAAAGCAATATTAGCTTTTAACATACTCATTTTGAGTTAAGTAGTGTAAACAAAGCCAACCACAAATAATAATTCGCCTTACATGACCGATGAGATTTATCTGTGGAAAATGCCTGCATATTCATAATCCAAGATGGATCATTTGTCCAATCAGATGTAAGTTGAGTACATTCAGTCGTACATATACTAGCATCGGGTATCATGGCGTCCTGTAGGAAAAAAAAGTTTTGAGAAAGTAATTGTTGATGAGTGACAGTTACTTACAACAATCTTTTCTCGTTCTCTCTATCTAATTATTAAGACTAAAAACATAGAAAAACTAAAAAGTGTATGGTAATCACTGTTCCTAAAGTAAAACTCACATAAGATACTATAAACAAGTAAGTGATGTACGATTACTGAGATGGTTATAAAATGGATTTACAAGCAAACATATTAATTATCCCCTAACATGATATGCTGGCTGTGTTTACGAATTTTATTTTCATATGCCTCATACTCTTTATGCTTATTTAAAAGTCTTAAGGTTGCTCTCTGAAATCAGTCTCTGCACGTGATGTTTAATATAGTTACTTCGGAAACTATGTGTTGGTTAAACTTATTGTTTTTAAAGTTGACACCTTGATACAAACCAGACAATTATCAGATGAAACTGATCCCAGGAAAACATGCAACTGGTGTTTACTGTACTTTAGAGTACCAGGCTCAAGGTGCTGGGGAGTTATAGAAAATTCGTTTTCAGATGTGAGTAGAAATGTGTGTTCCGTATCAGCTTATCCAAATACTTTGCTTTGTTAAGTTGTTTTAGATAACAGAGCCGACATAGGTTCTTTTTCTGCTGGTCTTAAAGATTTAATTAGAGTAAAAATAAACTAGATTGATAAGCGATATGGTTTGATCATCTCCATTTAAATTCATCAGTTATCATCAATTGAATAACTACAATGGAGTTTGTTCGATAGATATTGCGATGTAGAAAGGCCTTGTCAGTCTACGATGTGGAGTTGCTAAATGAAGAATATTTGTGCACGCTAACGCCTACCGGGCTATCATAACTGCTTCAATAGTTTGAAAGTTTTTCATATTAAAGTTAATAGAAATTGTAATGAGGTATTCTGAGTAAGTGGTAAATACATTTCTTTCAGGAACAAAACCAACCAGTACGGTTAATACTTTGAAGTGTAATTTTCTTAATTGTTGCCTATCTATTTACATGGTCATTCACCATCTATTGTTTAATTTTACATTTTGCTAGTGAGTGCTAGTAGCTTCGAACATATAAATGTTAACAAAAAGCACTTACTATCTCTTCCTTAGCGAAACCTTGTTGACGTAATGAACAATAATGATTGTGTGTTGTGAGAGACTTTACAGGAACCCAATGATTCTGTGAATAGGAGCATCTTCCATATTCGACTGGCTAAACATATAAAAAACCATGTAGAATTCATTAGAATTGATCTTTCAAATACGACGAACTAGTATATAGTTTATTTAGTCTGAGAACAGGTTACCGATCTTTTACGAAAATAAGCACAGTTGGATACCAATAATCCTAAAGTAACTATTTCATTTATTAACTCCCCTATGCGTGAACTGGAAATTTTTCAAGACTTTAAGAGCCATATTTAAGCCTTAAGCATATTAGTATCCTTTAAGAACTCCAATAAGGCAAAAAAGATATTGTTAGAAGCCTTAGTTTCCTATACAGCACTGTGAGATACTCATACTCCAAATTATTGAGTGCATTGCTAAGCCTGGTTGTGTATTTATAAAACTTCGCGTGAAAATTTATTTCTAAGCAGATGTAGATGATACGGTCCAACATTTGGGACGGCTAAGATTATTTTTGCTTTATTGTACGAGTAGGAAGGATAATTACAAGCTATGTATCTCAATAACTTGCATTGAAAGTCATACAACACATTTACAGTTGGAGATGTAGAGCTGTGGATTGTAAGCTGGGAATGACGTGTCAGTAAATTTCATTATTAGAAAACAATTATATGTTAGATACTTTTACCCATTCACTTAAAACATCAACTAGGAAGACTTGAGTCAAATTTATTCTGAAGATCTTTGCAAATAGTACTTACCGAACACAGAACATTAGAAAAATTTCCATCTAAAAAAAGCGAATGTCCGGCGCTTTAACCTGGTTGGTGGACACGGCAAGTCCACCTAGGGGAGTTGGAAAACCCTGATTCCAAACCAATGGTGCACATGGGCCCCAGAATCCTGAAGGAACAAATGGCGTACGAACCAATTTTTGGTCGCCGGCTACCATGGGACTGCATCTCCTCACGATGCCCCACTGCCTTGTGGATCAGACCTTTAGGTCAAAGTCTCCGGGTGTGGCCCCTTGAGAAAACCACCTGCTTTAGTTTGGATAACTGGGTAGCATCACACCTCTCACACAAATCAAATGAGATTTGTGTGGCGCGTATGTATCTGGTACTTACTTGTACCAATATTTATGTGTTTAAATAAATAAATCAACATCTAAAATGTTGGCTTAGTTATTAAGGTTATTATACTTGAGAAGAGAAAGCAGTGATTATAGCAACAAAAAAGCTAAACACCAAATCAGAGCAGAAGCGAGGAAAGAAAATGATGATCTACTTAAAATATGTAACGGGATTGGTGGGTAGGTTTGCATTACTTTGACTAATTTTAAGCAAAAATATTTCACCTTCAAATGTTAAATTTATTTATGTTAGAAATAATTTCACAGTCACTTACATTGACAGAAAGAGGGACTGAATACTTTCAGAATAAATACTGTTTTTTTAACACTTGCTGCCACTTTCACTTGCATTTTTCTCTAGTTAGCGCTACTTTATGAGGTAATTTCTAGATTTCAGACGTATAAAACATGATTAGCCTACCCCCAATGATGTAATTTTAAATTGCTGTCCGTTATTTATTCTTCCAACCAATTACTCTTAGCCTAAAATTAAAGAGAAGGCAGCTATTTTATCGTTTGAAGGTTAAGTAAACCACTTGCTAAAATCTACTCTTGTCACTATTTTCAGGTTTCACCATGCGCGATGAAAGTTATGAAGATAGAACGCCGGCAAACTTCGAGCCACTGCAAGTTTGTCAACTTCTTGTGACCAAACTGTTTGTGAGAAGAAAGAATGACTGCAAGAAAAATAGAGACTAAAGAAATCCGAACTCATACATCCCTATCCGACTGTACATAATTGCTGACTGGATTTGGGAGCAATAATTACAATACAGCAGACATCACAGTTGAACACAAGTGTTCTGCTAGCAAACGATTTTTTTTCAAAACATGAGTCGCTTATGGTTAATGGTGGAACCAAAGTCTGGGGACAACCTTGAGGGATTATAAAAATGGTCTTGCAAAGTCTTTATCAGTCATTCGGCTCAGAACAAAGTTGGGGATTAATATCAGGAGTTAGACTACGGAATCGTCACAACAAATTACAGTTGGGGTTTTCATAATGATATCAGATATCGTGCAAGAACCATATAGATGAGTCGGTTTCGCACACGAAGTGCAATTTAAAGTTTGAATGTTTCATTTCCACGCTTCAGTCCAGTCCGTTTTTTGTGCATACAGTTGAAGGATTTAAGGAAGTTCATCTAAAAACTCTGAACTACTTTTGTGTAATGGATCATATGACAAGATCACAATGTGTCTACTACTGAAAAATAGTCACACATTCAGGGAGGAAGTGATAAACTGCAGTGACAACCAGCAAATGGAGAAGAAAACATTCTTAAACCCGGGGGTCTAATAAAGGAAGAAACCTGGTAGTGGGCTGAGTTAGTAATTCTTTCTATCAATTATTAATGCACTTCGGAAATTTTAAGCAAAGCGTGAAGAAAATTAATGATCTCCACAAATTTTATGAAAAGCTGGTATGAACGCATTAGAGGAGAAACCCACAGAAATGTACTCTTAAATACGTGCTCTTCATAAAAGGAAGAAGTTACGTATGAAATATTCAGACAAAACAATAACAAACACTAGTGTTTTATAAATTTACAGGTAACCTGGAATAAGCACTCACATACGAAAGAAACTCATGAGTCCATCCGAAATCTGTGATAAGTTCATTTAGTAATTTTTGCGACTCGTCAACCAGCATATTCAAAATACACAACAAGGCCAAGGCCATTAATTAATATGAGCGCTAATCTGTGTTTATAGATTAACTCGCATAAACCGATTGATTTCTTTGATCTCCATTCTTGATGTTACGGTACGCTTCTAGACCTTCACTATCCTCTAATGTTTTTGGTTAGGCTTCTTAACTAAACTGATTCTGATGAATTGTGAGTTAGTATTTTTTGATTATGGACGAGTATATTGTTGTATAACTCGTCGTGGGATACTCCTTAATGTGAAATTTTTAGCTTTGGTTAAGATGTTTTTATTTGAGCAACTGTGTGTGGCTAGTATGTTATACACCATTATCAGGTCACCTCCCTTTCTCTGCCGAATTGGTGAGAACAGTCAAAGGTAGTGATGTCGATCTTCACAGGCTTTATCTCCTATCCTGAATACCCATTTTGTAGCAAGCCCTTATACCTGTTCCAAGAAACTTATATGGCTTTGTGAAGAGGGGTATAATAGTGTCGTGGGTCTTTAGATTTTAAAAAGTTAGATCTCGAACAGTGTCAGAAGTCTTTGTGTCTAGTTGTCTTCAGAATAAGAGTTAAGTAGCGTAAGCTTGAGTCTCCCGAGTAGCTCGAAATAACGTCGTTTCACACTTCTGAGGATTAAATGTCAAATCTTTCCATTCTTGAGGCACTAGTTTTAGATCTACATGGAGCTCATGTGATTCAGGTTCATGTCCGCCAGTTTATAATCTGCCACATAAATAAGAACTGAGGAAGTGATATATAACTGGAAGATCGCTGATGAATTTTAGGAATAACGAAAAGGGCGGTATAGCACTCTGAGAAACTCCAAGTACATATTTTCTTCAACTTGGTTTTATGCAGTTAGTTTCAGTTCATTGTGTCCTGTCCTGAAGTTAATCTGAGATTTAATTGTCTACAAATGAATTTGCCAACTTAACCACTTAGCTGTTGCGCACGAAGTCTTCGAGGGGTTATGGTCAAAACAGGTTAATAGATATGCTGCCAGAATTATATTGTGCTTCCAAAAATGTAGATTAATACAAGTAGAACTGGGATGCACGCTACTTATGCTGATAGCTATACGTAATATGTAGTAACGATCGGAAGTACAACGCCTGCCAGCCGAAGATAGAATTAAAGAGAACAGGAATGCAAATAGAGAGCAATTGTGGTAACAGCAAAATTGGAAGAATCATAAAGTATGTACGGAAGAACTGATGGAAGATGCGAAAATAATGTATTTCATGTATGGTTCCCTTATTTCATGAAGGCACTCTGTAATTTTGCGTTTAATAATAAATTGGTCGGCTTCACTTGAGTTCCCGTTCACTACAGTACAAAAACACAAAGTGGTAGAGTCAGTTACGAAGAAAATAATGAATCCACACATGCCAAACAATAACAGCGACACAACGAAGTGCGTCAATAATAATGATTAATCATCTTTATTCTAAAAAAAATGGTACGGTTTAATAATTGGTTGTTGAACAAAGGGCGCAGAAATTGTTAACAGTCAGGGAATAAATGGGTCCTAAGCGACAGGCGTTTTGTTAAAATATTATTGGTCAATCAGCTCCTATCAGGTGAGGTTTGTACTGTTATGTGTTACAAAATAAGACAGAACATGTAAAAATATTACTCCATTGATGGCGAATTAAATATGCTTTACCGTCGTAGCAGTATATTAAGCGTGACAGACATTAGTTATCAATGATAATCTTTTACATTACATGCGTATCAAATCGCCACATGAACTTCCAGTATTCTGTTGGTTATCCATTGAAGTAACTGAACTTCACTTCTTTAGATGGTTCGCGGATTCAAATGGGGCTCTCTTTGGTTGTTCAGATAACCATTCTCGGCAGGAGTCATCAGACTTCCGTAACTGCAACTTCATTGACAGTTGCCGTTCCTAAAAACTTTGTTATGTATTTTAATTGTCTCGCTACAAGGGGGTAGTGCTGTTATTCATTTTAGATGCTATATCGTCCTTGTTTATTCATGGTTTTTACTTTCAGTTTTAGTTAAAACATATTAGACGGCTGCTACTTTGACTAACTGGAGTTAATTGTTAGTTATGTCCATAACTAGCCAATCAAATTGTTTTTTAAGCACCCGCCACGTTACTCTGGTCTGATATGTCTATGTACTACCCCCGTTGCACGTGACTCACCAACTGAAAGACATTATTATCCTACTAAACTAGTGTGACCCATAATTTTTATTCATTTCGATAAGGCACACTATACTGGTCGGTATGTTTGTGCTTTCCACTTGATGACTGTAATTCTTAAATTATTGTACTAATCTAATTGTCTTTATGTTTAGGAACAGATAAGGTTTAAAACCAAGTTGTCCGTGTTCCAACTACAGTTTTTACATAAACCCTGGGATCTCCAATATCGCGTTTTAGTTATACTAGTACGTCTGTGAGACAAATTAAATAATAATTGGTCACTCAGAATCGAATTGATCGATTTGATCTTTCGATTGTAGCGAGGATTAAACTCTCTCTTTCATAGTATACTTGTACCTGTAGCCTTGGGTTGCAACGCATTTGTCTAATATAAGTGTAATTTCGTATCTGTAGCACTAAAATTTTTCGGATATGTATATCAAGTATACCATGTATATCAAGTCTTTCCTGAAGCCGATCGTATTCTATAAATCAAGTTTTAACGCGCTCCCTATTCATCTCAGTGATTCGACTGGTGGAGTTAGATGGTAGAAGGAAAGAGACTCCTGAACCGAGATTTCGTGCTACTTACCACCCATCAGCAAGATGTACCTGTTATCTTATGGAAAGCAATGTTTTTTGATGGGTTTAATCTCTCATCACCCAGCTTCACAATCAGAAAAGTTACGGTCAAGCTATTCAGGCTGCTATTAACCTCTTGTATCTAGCTTTCACAAGTGCCATATTGACGTAATGTGACCTGATCAAAGCACATCATTTATAGCATCCCATAAAGTCTCCCAGAAAAAAACGTCTCAGATGACAGATCATAAAAATAAAACTGGCATATAGGAGAGTCGGAACCAACAAGGAGTCTAGTTTATCACAGAAAGCAAAAGCCATAGCTGAACGAAATAAGAGTCGGGGCTAACTGGCCATTCTATTCCATTCTGGAGAGGCACGACTGCGGCCTGCTAAGAAAAACCAATAGGCGTTTAGTGACCTCCCTTTTGAAGCATCTTAAACAGAAAGAATGAAATGTGAAGCAATCACAACAAAAAGAAAGGCCGGTTCAACACACTCAAAAGAATTATTCCCCTACCTTCATAGAGTCCTTTGAAAAGATAATTGCTGTTATAAAGTGTGGATTCGTAATATATATGAACGTGGAATTAGTGAGGAGTGGATTTATTGATCGGATGCAAATGATACTTGAAATCGTACGAGCAGTCTTGGGTGCTATTCGGTCCTTCCTATCTGCCTAGCCCAGCCCGTTAAGTACAGAACACAGATAACAGCCTCGGCAATATGAATCATTATTTCCAAACATACTGGGTTTTTATACGACCCAAAGTAATCAATAAACTGATTATAACTCAAGAATCGTATGATAATAAGTCAAGGTCAAAATAAAGCTAATGATAAGAGAAATACGAATATGAATAGTTTAGTTACGTAACAATTGTACAATAAGAAATAGGCATAATACATTTGTCGATAATAGACCTCAGATTTACCATTCATAATTCACCAGGGGATATAACAATTGCAAAATAATATTAGTAGTTTTTGACGTAAGAGTTCTGTCAGGAAGAAAGCAGAGAGACAATCTGAAAGGAAAAGATTACATACAGATATTTCGGAATGCCACGTGGAGTCCTTCTAAGGTTACTTCCGGCCACAAATCTGGATAAAAGAAGGCTGAGCATAAGGTTAGCAAAAACGTCCCGTTGGAAGTACCCTTACTGAAAAAACCGGCCAGAAAAGTTATCTTGGACCATTCAACATTCGCCCTGGGTATTGAAAAGTATTTTTAAGGAAAAGTTGTGAAATCGCATGATTAGAGTCAAAGCTCCCGGGAAGTAGTGAGTCCAATAGCTCTTTTTAGATACGGAACGATGACTACTATCGGTGCATGGAGTGTAAATACAATTTCAGAAACAGAACAACTCATTCAAACGGAAGTGGATAGGAAAATGTACAACCTGACCTTTCTAGAAAGGAATTTGACCCTTTGGACACAAGATGGACAGAAAAACTAGCTTCGAGAGAGATGCTGCGATATCCTAGCTACGAAGGACATAATCCATTACACGCATAAAAAGATGAACTAATGCTCTTCAAAACGGTAGATGAAAATCTCATAGATCCAGAACTACCAATATGTTCTTCTATACCAAGATGGGGGACGTTGCGATAAATGTTTTGTAGTGCTTTACGTCCATCAGTCGTAGAGAGGAAAATGATTAGGTTTTCTGAGGAGCTGCAGTCAGTCGTAGAGTAGTACTGAGAAAAGGATCTGATCATCTTAATAGTCGGTATGGATAACATTGGGTACGAAGATTTCACCGGATGAAATGGACTCTAAGACAGGAACGAGGATGATGATGGGCTTGAAAATCTGTGCGCTTTCGATGACATCGTCTTACCCCGCAAATGCCTAAAAAAAGCCACACACCACAGTGAAACAGATTGACCACATTTTTATTAATAAAAATTCTTAAGGTCTGTGGGTGATTAAGAACAAGAAGAGGAGCTGATATAGCTTCAGTCCACCAGCTGGTAGCAGTCAAGATGCAACTGAGGTTAGTTAAGGACTATATAACTGGAGAAACAACATTACTGAGAACACTGGACGGCCGTTTCGTCCTATTATGGGACTTCTCAGCAGTGCGCATCCACGAACCTGCTCTCGCGAGCGAGACTCCAACCGAGGACCTGCCAGTCTCGAGCCGAAGCCCTTAACCGATAGACCACTGAGCTGGCATCCAACCATCCAGCTAGCTAGTGGTTTAAGACAATATCGAGGCAATTCTAACACGATGCACATATCCCAGCAAGAGAATGGTGAATTGC